CAAGCAAACCACTTCTGAAGATGCAAGCCACTCGTGCTTGCGAAACGTCAGGAAGAAATTCTACCGAACGACGGCCTAAAAACCCATTAGTTTTATTGTTATATTGTAGATTTAGGAACATGAATCAGTGTCAATGGTGTCAATTTCAATTTACTGGATCGACTTTTTTAAGCAACTGGCAAATGCGAAATTAATGCTTAAAACTCGCCATTGAAACATGTACAAATGATCGATGAGTTCAAGCTTCTCCCCGTATCACGCTCCCTTGTTCTTATTAGTCTAACGATCTAACAGCTACGTCCTATATTTTAGATGCAAAGTTTTATATCTCACTACAAGGACTTAATGGCTAAGTGTTATATGCTACTTTACAACCTTAGACAGTTTTATAACATCTGGATGCACAACCTTGAGTAGAGCATTTCTGGATTTTCAGCATATATCGCGCTATATACAGAAAACAAATGGGAAAAATTGACCGATGTCGGGTTTTGATTGACGAAGAATATTGCTTTTTGCCACAGTACAGTGTCCTCCATTTTCAAACATGAAATTAATTAAATGTTCAGGCCTCGATTGAGAACAACCATCATCATTCATTTCAAGAAAATGGTTTACACCCTGGCCTGGCCCCTGTTTCAGCCTCTTTCAAGACGCGACCGTTTGCAAAAAACAACCACAAAGAAGCTGAAACAGCTTCCCAACCACCGAAATTGACATCCTTTAAAGTTAAACGGCGCCTCTATCCTTGCTCCTGCTGCACGTTAGAGCCTGATCATAGACATTGGAAAATACTCAAATACTTAGAGAGGGCCGATAGAGCCGCTCTTTAATCATCGATGAAAGCCTCATTGTTGATTTAAACGAAAATAATGCCAATACAAATATTCCTATAACACGCTTATCCAACATTTACATACACTTAATACATAACAAATATCCTCGCCTAATAAACTTCTTTCAGGATTCAACAACAACGGGCATATTTCAACAAAATATGTACAAGCCTGACAGGTACAAATGTTGCATAAAAACCATTGAGAAACCAAAAGGGAAACTGGATGGGTTTGGGGTTCGAACATCAAAAAATAAAAAAACCCACAAACTTGTGTCAAATTTCATTTTCATATCGAAAGGTAATTTCCAAACAAAAAATACTAGAAAATCTACCGTATCAAAAAACATAGCTAGTATAGCCTAAATCGGACGTTTTGGCCAATCCATATCCATCATCAGATATGACATAAATAGTTACCTTACGACTACCTTACCTCGGTATAACCTACTAGCTAGTAATAAATTACGAAATGTCTCTAGAAACTGCTCATTATCGAAAGGCAATTTCTAAAATATATGTGTACTTATATCTAGCATAAACCTAAATCGTAAATAAATCTTTGGATAACACAAAACATATAATAGATAATTTAATGTGAAGGGGGCGCCGCTTGAAACCTGGAACTTTAAGGGCATTGTTTAGCAACAACAAAAACACATGAACATACGCAACGTTTCGGGATAATTGACACATCATCAGGATGCTATCCGTAAAGGAGGCATAAACACGTCGTTAAACAACACCCCACTAAGCCCGCCCTTCGTTGTTAGGTAAAGGGAAACAAATGGGGAATTTAACAAAACAAACAAACACCCAAAGAGATATTCGTAATTTGAAACAAAAAAATTACATTAGGCTCTTTTGAAACTTCTGCTTTGATCGTTTAAACTGTTCAATTTTGATAAACGGTTGAGATTAACCGTGCGACAAACGTTACTAAAGTGAGAATTTCGTTTCTTACAAACAACGGCAACAGAACCTTTGTCTTCACGGTTCAATATAAAAAATCTACAAAAATTCAACAATTAGTATTATAAAAACGTCACAGCCCAAAAGTTTAAAATATACTTGCTTAATAAGAAACAAAAGCGAAAAGTAAATATAAAACATGAGCTTTTTCAAGAGTAAACTGTATGATTGAAGAACTTTTGTTGAAACCGGGACCTTGCAAAACCCAGCGTTTTGTGATGTGATGATTCTAGTAAATAAATTAAATGTGTTTCTAGCGCTGAGTCCTGTCGGCAAACTCGAGCCATCAAGCAACTGCTTCTTGACTGAGTTGCCGTATGCTTTTGAGCGATACCAAATAATTTACGCAAGATGGCAACCATTTTTGAGCAAGAATCTCACTTTTCGTCAAGTTGTTTTTCTCGATTGAATGTGTAACCGCCTATCAAAGTCAAGTTGGTGTGAGTTAATTTAACGATCAGTAGCGTTTCGTGCCAAATAGTCTAGTCGGTTCAAAGAAGTCGTCAAACAAACGGTTACACATAATCTCAAAAAATAAGTTAACAAGTTTATAGCCAAAAAATAGATCTTAGAAATATAAATGTCATTATAAACCGAACTAAGATATTGTAATACCTTATAATATTTCAGTTCAGATTGCAATACATTCAGTAACATTAATATATATATATTTAATAGATATATTTATCTACAAATGTTTGTAATACTAAAATTGCTTAGATTTTTTAGTGCTATAGAAAACGGCCACTGACTTAGAGTTGTCTTTAATGGCATTGCGTTGCGACCGTACGTACGTTCCATTGAGACGACATTTACATTGTTTTTCAAACCAAAGTAGGGCCAAAGGATGAGAGTCCGGATCCGGATCCGGACGCGGATCGCAAATCCGCTATTTTCTACGCAATCTGACGAAAAGGGGACCAAAAAACTATATCCGGGCAATTCTTAAGTCAAACATACTGGACAATTTGATCCCGTTTTTCATCAATTAGGCCCCCAGACACCCTTAGAAACATGTTGCTTAAACACATACATATTGTTTTACAGTTAGCCATAAAACAATCGCTTGAAAGTGTTTGGAATCCCATCGCTTTAATACTTGCATTCACCCAAACAACAGAAAAAATGGACAAAGCCTTCACGGTCGCTTAAGTATATTACCGCTATCATATAGTACAGGGTAGAGAAAGTAAAGCGACTGGCTTCAAGGCACAACGGACGACAAAATACAGTCATCAGCCAAAGTCATTGTTTTGTATAGCGAATGGCATTCACAGGCATTTTGAGGAAAAATTCTGCACTTACCGTCCAAACTTGCAATGGTGCCTTGAAAATGTCGCCTTACACTCTACTGCTTATGAGATCACTGGTTTAGAGCCGACTGGTACATTGGTAAGCAATTTTTTTCAAGTTCAAAAAGATTGGTTTAGAAGTTGGCAAAGATGTGGCCGGATTTACAAGAACGACTACTAGCGAGCGAAAGTTCAAACCACTACTTCTTAAGACGAAAATGTAGACCTTACTAATGTAGCCTGGTAGTACGGGCAGCCAACTCTAAATCCCGCACATCTCCGTTTACTTAAAAAAAATCCATTGTACTTTCACATCGGCTCTTCGTAGAACTGCGACTACAATTTCAGTTCCTCCACTTGGGCCACCAGCCCATCCTCCTGATTGTTGGGCAAAGGGGCGTCTCCAGCACCAATCTCGTGAGTACCATAAGGATTTCCGGTGTTTCTTCGCGGCGCCTTGTTACGCGGTCTTCTCATTGGTGGATTGAACGATTGCGGGGGCTGCGCTGTCGGCTAATCAAAATCCAATATCAATTTTTTGCGCTTTTCACATCACTAAGCACGCTTGCAAGAGACCGGAGTGGACACACTTTTGAAATTGTGCCAAAGAAAATTCCGATAAGAGCGGTTTCAGTGAGCTTTACAGTTAGGTGTTTACAAGGTGCTCGCCTGATAGCAAATACTGGAGAAAGAACTTTTCTCAGTGGGGTTTTTTTAGGGAAAATGCGGTTTTCGACCACTTTTCACTCTTTCAATGGCCCCGCTGTCTGACACTGCTCCTGTTGGAATTGGTAACTTTAACATATTCATATACAAGGTGATTTAAAATTGGCGTCAGTCTTTTTACACATTGCACAACAACTGACACTTTCTCTGGCACCAAATAAATACCGGCTACATTCCTACCACGTATGTAAGATTCACATTAAACCAATGGATTACGGAACACCGGTATAAATGGCTCGAAAAGAGTGCATAATAAGGTGATTACACAGGCAATTGCTTGGAGTTACAGACTCAAAAGTATCTTTTTGTAATTTGTAAACAATTAATAAATCGAGGTTATGAGTTTCGAAATAGGTTCTGTCATTCAACGATTCCTGTTGAATTTACCGTTTATCCTTGTCTATCTTATTGTCACTTTCTTTATTTATCCAAAGTTACCAGAGTTTTAAACATTACGCAGCAACAGGTATTTACGCAATGTTAATTAGGCAGATTACCTTGAAAAACATTGTTGACGTTTCTCTTACATAGTTTTTTGCAAGTTTCTCAGTTTTTAATAACAATTAAGTTTCTTTAACTCCTAAGTTTCCTAAAACACCGCCAGACAACACCTCCAGAGGAATGACGCCAATTTTGAATCACCCTGTATTTTGTAGGCACTTGGAATAGCTTCGGCATTTTCTTAAGTTTCTGTTGTATTTTTTAGTGTTAACCCACTCATCCCGCCAAAATGGAAATTAACCGGCAGAGAGTTGCTACTTTGATAAAAACTTGGCAACTTGTCATACAGTAATAAGTTCTGCCCTTACGGAGAGTGCTTAATTAACGGCAGGCGCAAGTCTTACTAAAAATAAAGTACGCATGTGCAGATGTAAAATTAACGACGACACTATCAGTGGCATAGCCGCACACGGCAATAAAATAGACGTTGGCTCAGGGGCGGATCCAGCTTTAAAGTCAAAGGGGGGTTATGTAGAAAAAATACAGTCTTCTGTTATCTATGAAATTAGGAAAATGATCGTCGTTTTGTGCAAGGGTGGCGCAAGATTATTGCAAA